TGGTCACGGATGATTCCTTGAATTTTCATTGCTACTTGTGTCAGAAGAGATGCGGGCCCTACACCAGCGACTTTTCTTGTTGCCGTAGATACTCAATAAGAGCAACCTAAGGAAGGGCTCATTTTGGCTCAGCGTTTCCAGGGATCATGTCCACCATGGAGCAGAGAGGATGCCGGGAGGAATGCGGTGAAGCTGTTCCTAATGCATCCTCAGTCAGGAGAAAGGCGGAGATGAACACGGGCGCCCATCTGTCTTTCTTCTTTTTGCCTTCTTATTCGTCCAGGCTGGGGACTCTAGTCTGCAAGATGGCACTTCTCACGTTTAGGATAGGTCTTTCTTCAGTTAACCATCTCTGGAAATACTCTCAAAGAGACACTCAGAAATGTGTTTTCTAGGGGCTGGAGGGATGGCTCAGTAGTTTAGAACACTTGCCGCTCTTCCAGAGGACTTAGGTTCAGTTCCCAGCACCTATGAGGCAGCTTGTAACCATCCATAACTCCAATTCCAGGGAATCCAATGCTCTCTTCTGGCTTCTGCCAGCACCAGGTGTGAATAGTGGTATCCACACGCATGTACAGGAAAACATTCACATACATGATGTAAAAATAAATGGATACTCTTTAAAAGTAAAGAAATATGTCCGGCGTTGGTGGCGCACGCCTTTAATCCCAGCACTCGGGAGGCAGAGGCAGGCGGATCTCTGTGAGTTCGAGGCCAGCCTGGTCTGCAGAGTTCCAGGACAGTCTCCAAAACAATACAGAGAAACCCTGTCTCGAAAAACCAAAAAAAAAAAAAAAATTAGAAAGGGAGGAAATGACCGATCCCCTCTACTGTTGATGGGTGGCAGATTGAGGTGAGCTGAGGTTAAGCTTTCACTTTTAAAAAGGTAGGGAGCCTAAGGGGCGGCTCTATGGCTTAGTAAGTTAGACGTCTATTGCACAAGCACAAGAACCTTAATTCTCAGCCCCCAAAGAAGCTAGATGTAGTAGTATGTGTCTGTAACCCCAGTGTTAGGAAGGGGTAGAATGGGTAAAAAGGGGTAGAAGGGGCAGAGGGAGACAGGAGGATCCTTTGGGTTCCCTGGCCATCCAGTCTAGCTAGAAACAGCAAATCCCAGGCTCAGTGGGAGAGCCCACCTCAACATATAAATTGGCAAAATGTCCTGTAATCTCCGTGTGAGCACTGTGATACACTCATGCACCCCTCACCATCGCCCCCCACAAAAAATGTAAAAATGTAATTTAAATAAATAAAAATAAGGAGTGATAGAAGAAAGACACCAAACACATCAACATCTGGTGTCCACATGCGCCAGAATGTCCTGCATGTGAGTGCAAGCACACACACACACACACAGAGAGAGAGAGAGAGAGAGAGAGAGAGAGAGAGAGAGAGAGAGAGAGAGAGAGAGAAAGAGAGAGAAGAGATAAAGCACGTGAACCACGTGATCAGAGCTACAGTTTCAGAAGATTCAAACGGCGCTTTGAACGAAGTAGATGGGGGTGGTCTTGGCTGAATCATGGCACAGCAACTCGGGCTGAGGTTAAAAAAAGGGTTTGATGAGACTGACAGGGGCAGAAAACATGTGCCAGAACAATTAGAAAACAGAGCTGGGACCCCATTAGGCCACTTAGAACCCTCTGCCCCTTGGAGTCTGGGAGGGAGTGGCAGCAGCTCAGAGAGACTGAAGGAGCCACCAGTTGCCAGCAAGATCTGGCTCCAGCTGTGCTCCCAAGCTGACTGGCAGGTGGTATCTTCGTGGCTCCCATTAGATATATGTTTTGAAGCACATCTTAGGTGCTGGGTCTTCCACAGCAAGGCATGATGGGTGGACGGCGGCTGAGACAACTCGGGTTGATCTCTTGAGGTCACAAAGTGTAGTCAGGGTTTCTTTGGAAGTTGCTCTACATGATTTGCAGATGGCCATGGGTATCTGAGTATTTGCGTAGCCCATGATCCATCTACTGAGGACCTTGCTCCCAAAGAGATGGGGTGCAGAGGTGTGGACTCTGGGTGTGGGTGTGCACCTTTATATGTGTGTCAGGGCTGCTCACCCCTTCAGCACACAAAGACAGGCTGGAAGGTGCTGTGAGCCAAAGTTCTGCCTCTCACCAGACACCGAATCCTCTGGTACCTGTCTTAGGCTTCTAGGCCCTAGTACTAGGTGAAGTAAGTTTCCCTTGGTCCTAAGCTACTCCGTTCATGGCATTTTGTCAAAGAAGACATAGATGCAAGAAAGCCATTGTTGCCCTATGACTTCACACGTGGTCTTTCTCCTGGACTTGTCGGTGTCTGGATTTCCTCTTAAGTGGCCCTTCTTCTCAAACTTCAAATGCTAAAGAGCTGGTTAACATCTGAATTGGGAGGGGTGTCAGCCTGTAACCATTTCCTCCTAAATGGTTGGTTTAGTGTACACCCACCCCACAGTCAGGGTAAAATGAGGCCATGGCCCAAGCTTGCCCCCGTGTCCCAAAGAAGGCCTCGGCTTCCAGATGAGAGAGGCATTAGAGGCCGGAGGGTGGGTTCTTGAACCAGGACATGTAGAGTCGTACTGAGAGCAAATAGTCTAAGAAGGGGCCAGTGAGACAGCCTAGCAGGGAGAAGCATCTGTGTGCCTCACAAACCAGAAGGAAAGAAATTAGATGCAGTGGTGTGGATCTGTAACCCTGCGTGGCACGACAGTAGAGATGGGAGAATTTCCCGGAAGCTCCAGGGACCAGGTCACCTGGACTATGCAGCGTGGTGCAAACAAGACAGACCATTGCTCTCAAACTAGGTGGAAGGGGAGAGCAAACATCTTAAAATTGTTTTCTGACCTCCACACTCATAAGAACACATGCACATGCCAGCGGGCATGCGCGTGCACACACACACATGCATGCACACACGCACACACACATGTGCACGCACACACCCACAAAAGCACACACACACACACACACAATAAACCACATTTTAAAATAAATAGGCAGTCTAATGATGCTTGCACACAACCCAGTAGCTACTGAATAGAGAAACTGGTATCTGAGTCAGGACAGTCAGCCAAAAGGTGGTGTGTAACAGATAACACGGAATTTAACTTTGGATAGCCTCTGCAGATGGAACTCTGCAGCATTAGAAGAGACAGATGATGCTCTCAGAACAGTCTGCCCAACATCCTACTGTCAGATTGTCAAACGGGGCTGGGGGCAGTGACCAGGGCAGGAGCCTGAGTAGGTTGAAGCCAGAGCTGGCTCCTCCCAGAAGTGCACAGTGCTCTGTGTGGAATGAGAGTTGCTGCTTCCCTCTCGCTATGATCAGTGTGATTCTAGAAACTGGTGTGTTGAAGCATGTTACACATGGAGGAACAATGAAAGACGGCACTCCAAATGTGGTGCCACCAACCCCTGTTCATAGCATGGCATCATGCCCACGCCATCCATGTGCCCAGAAACACCCCTGCTGACAGCCAGATGCTAGTGGCTGGCAGTTTTGCTGGCAAATACATCCTCATATGGGTATGAGCTTAAGTTCATGCTGGTTGCAGCACCTTCTAGATGCCGCTCAGTGGTCCACACATTGGTCCCCAGATTTTCCTTCCCCACCAACAAAGCCTGTCTACCACATAGGTCCTATAGGCAAGACTGTCATTTTCTGTCCCCCGGTAGCTAGCCAAGGACCGGCTCAGAGCAGGTAGCCTGGATATATTTCCTAAGCGGGACAGCATCCATCCCACCGGATGGTGCATCTTTTGTACTGAGAACATCACCTTCACCTCACCCTCTCTAAGGTCCCTACATCCTAGACTCTGGCTCTTCTGTGGGAGGGACCAACTGTCCTCAGAGCTCCCATGCTGAGTGGGTCATAGTCAAAGACAGGAGAGAAAGCAGCAAGACTCGGTAGTCAGCACAGTGGACAGAATAAGGCAGGAACCCCAGCTGATTCTCAGGCCATGGGGAGAAGTCAGAAGCACCCTGTGCAAGACAAGGAAACATCCGTGTTCACCCCACCTGCCTCAGTGTGACGGGTGTGGGTCTGGAAGCCGGTGGCAGGCCCCTCGTTAGTTAGAACACTCTTTGCTGAAGTCTGACGTTTGAGGGTCTTACGTTTATTCCCCTCACACGCTCTGCTCATGTATTCCGACCCTGGACACCTTTTTTTTCCGTCTTTGCTAGGACAAAACACTTGGCGAGGGCAGCATAAGGGATGAAAGGGCTTATTTCGGCTCACAGTTTGAGAGGATAGTCCACCATGGCAAGGGAGTCACGGGAGCAGGGCTGTCACGTGGTTTCTGCAGTTAACAAGGACCGGAGAGATGGATGCTGGTGCTCAGCTAGATTTCTCCTCTCCCCTTCACTCAGTCTGAGACCCCAGCCCGCGCAGTGGTGTCACTCACACCAAGGGTGGCTCTTTCCATCTCCAGGTAACCCCTAGGGCTCCCTCAAAGACGGCATACCCAGATGTGTGGCTCCTTGACAGTTCCGACTTGACAATGAATAGTAACCATCACCAGGCCACGCCTTGTCAGTTTGTCAATTTATATCAACTTCTGCTTGACCGCCAGTGCTCCATCCCTTACTACCCAACTGTCAAACACACACAACTCATTTCCCCAAAACTTGGCATCCTCACCCTTTCTGCCAGCTACGGCTGTCCTGACCTGAGCTCTTTTTTTTTTTCTTTGTGTTCTCAGGATATGTTTTTCCACCTCCACATTTAATTCATCTTTATGAGGTGGGAGGTGAGAGCTGGCGGAATCCTAATTTGTGACACCTTCCAACAGTACCCGTTAACACTTGTTCAATATTTATTTAAGGGGGATGGTATGAAAATGATTTTCTCTTAATATCAATTATGTTCAAGCAGGTTCTTATAATTCGGTGCCCCAACCAAAGACTATTCAGTGCTCATAAACTATTCATAAAAAGGAAAACAGATATTTCCTATTTTTCTGTGGTTCAGGAACTCAGAATCCAGTGTGTTTTGATTTTTTTTCCTGTGGTCAATAAACTGCTTAAAAGGACTAGCAAGGGTTTTTAATTTAGATAAGAAAATGAGTCGCCAAAGGAAAGACTTTTACATCCATACACTCTGATTCCAGCGGCTCAGCTGACCTCGCTTGCCTGAGCATGTCCACTAAACTAGGCAGCTGAAGCAGGGGGTTGCTGGCAAAGCTTTTTTTTTCTACTTTGACCCAAAGGCATTTTGTACTTGGGCAAGAGGTCCAGTCTACATTTTTTCCAATTATGTGGAGTGTTATACCAGGAGTGTTATACAGGATTTCTACATAAAACTGCTCTGTATTTCCAAGTCGTTCTCAGGAAATTTGGCACACGGAACGTAGCCCTGAAAGGTGGCCCAGGTGGCCTTCTCTCTGATCCATTTGCCGTCCATGACATTCTTCCCACCATGAGTATTCCTGGAGGTAGACACTATAGCCATTTCTTCTCATCAGAAGAGTTGGCACCTACAGAAATCAAGGAAGAGAGACTCTGAGACCAAAGAAGTCACCAACCAGTGCCAGGCCCATTGGAGAATCCAAGGAAGACTGGATGATGGAGGGCAAAGGGAGGCCATTGTTTAGGAGAGTGACAGTCATGTGTGAAAGTGAAGATGAACCTGGAAATCTCTTTAGAGGTGGGCGGGACAATGAAAGAAGCTAAAAGAAAGGCAGGGCCATGGAAGGATTTTATTTACTTGCTTTGGATTGTGTTGTTGTTGTTTAAACTCTATATTTATTTTATTGTCTTGGTTTCCTTCTTGTCATTAAGTCTCACATAGAATATCAACTTAGAAAGAGACTTATCATAGGCATGATTTGGGGTTCTCTAGAATAACAGGACTTATAGAACAAATCTCTCTCTCCCTCTTTCTCTTCCTCTCTCTCTCCCTCCCTCCCTCCCTCCCTCCCTCTCCCCCTCTCTCTCTCTCTCTCACACACACACACACACACACACACACACACACACACACACACACGATTTATTGTAATGACTTACAGACTGAAGTCCAGCTAATTCAACAATGGTTGACTGAATGGAAAGTCAAAGAATCCAGTAGTTGCTCAGTCCACCAGGCTGGATGTCTCAGCTGGTCTTCAGTAGACGGTGGGATCCCAAAGAATTAGGCTCTAATGACAGTGAAGAAACGGGTGTGCAAAGAGTGTAAGCTTCCTTCTTCTATTTCCTTCTAAGGCTTCCAGCAGAAGGTGTGGCCCAGACTAAAGTTGTGTCTTCCCTCCTCAAGATCTGAATTAAAGGCTTGTGTGTCTTCCCGCCTAAGAGCTGGAGCAAAGCTGTGTGTCTCCCTACCTCAAAGGTCCAGAGCGGAAGTGGATTCACTCACTTCAAACCAAGCAAGCATGTCTCTCACAGGTGTGCTCTCCATTCTGGATTGTAGCTCATTCCAGATGTAGTCAAGTTGACAACCAATAATAGCCATCACAGATCCACACTGTATCAACTTGACACAAGCTTATTTCCTTATGTTATGGTTAATTTCAAATTGAAAACAATAACCTGGCTATAATAATATCGAAAACTAATGTAACTATTCCTCATACAATCTCAAATATATTACACATTTAACCAGGTCATAATTATGCCTAGCATGATATAACTATCCCCAGTAGAACCATAGATGCATTGTAGATTTAGAATAGGTGGCAATATCACTTGGGGAACATTGTTTTAGTATCTCAAACTCGAATGTGATAACCTTTGCTTTTCTCTTTCTTTTAATTACAATGGCTTTATTTATATTTGCCTTCACAGTTTAATTACAGAAGAGCATTTTATTTTTGGAACATGTCTTGCTTTCCTCTCCAGGTGGGTGTAGCCTTGACAGTTTCTTAATTGATATTACAACACATGATAAAGAAATTGAAAGATAACACAAATATCTGTAGAAACATTCTTAACAAAATACAATAGACACCGTCATGTCAACTGTGATCCTCATCTTTGCAACTGGTTATGTGTCCTTAGCTGGTGGTTATAACTACTTTCCTCTACTACCCGTTCCTCCACCCTTGGAAAGAACCCCAGCAGGTCTTGGGTTTTTTCTTGGAGAAGGGACCCATGCCTTCATTTCTGATGGGTCTGTGCCTTTTGTTATCCAGCCTCTGGATTAGGCTGTTTTTTGCTTCTCACTGACTTTAAACACAGAATGTGGTAGCACCAAGAGATGCTCTAAAGGATCTCTCTCCCCACTCCAGATACAATCTTTCTTACCTCCATTGCAGAGAGGCAATCCAGTCTCCCCAATGTAATCTGGATCAATCACTCCTGCTAACACTGTTACTATAAGGTAGTTAAACAGGAGAGACAGCCTATTTAATTTCCTCCCCAGAAATAAAATGTCAAATAATAAGCCATCTGTTTCTATGCTGATTTCAAATCAAATAGCTTGCTGGGCGGTGGTGGTGCATGCCTTTAATCCCAGCACTTGGGAGGCAGAGGCAGGCGGATCACTGTGAGTTCGAGGCTGGGCTGGACCGACAGCCTCCTAAACAATACAGAGAAACCCTGTCTCGTAAAAACCAACCAACCAAACAAACAAACAAACAAACAAAGACCAAATCAAATAGCTTGCCATGGATACAATAAACTGTGAAGATGAGAGCAGATGGGAGGCAGAAGTGGACAGATTTCTAAGATCCTAATGGGCTTATTCTTCCAAACTCTGAAAGACATGTTGGTGATCCAGATATTGCTGACATTCCATAATTCCAGACACTCAGATACAAAATATTGTTTTATTTTTCTTTGTAAAACTGACCAGATATTTTCAAATATCCAGATGTTCTCCATGATATAACCCAAACAACTCCATGTCTTGCCCGTGTTTTATTAAGATATAGGATATCAGGAAAACAGATCCCAAACTTACTTGTAAATTCAATAAAGATGGAGACAAGGACAAGAGCTTTAACCAACTGATAGTATGCTAGCAACTTGACATTAGTTAGAGTCATCTGAGAGGAAGGAGCCTCAGTTGAGAGAATGCCTCCATGAGATTGGGCTACATGCAAGTCTGTAGGGTGTTTTTTTAATAAGTGATTGATGGGGGAGGGGCCCAGCCCATGTTTGGCGGGGCCATCCCTAGGCTGTTGGTCATAGGGCTCTGTAAGAAAGCAGACTGAGCAAAATATGGGGAACAAGCCAGTAAGCAGCACTCCACCATGGCTTCTGCGTCAGCTTTTGCCTCCAGGTCTTTGCGCTGCCTGAGTTCCTGTCCTGACGTCTTTTGAGGATGAACTGTGATGTGGAAGCATAAGCCAAACAAACCCTTTCCTCCCCAAGTGTCTTTGATGATGGAAGGTGTTTCATCACAGCAATGGTCACCCTAAGACAAAGCTGAAGCATGACTGAGATGGCAGAAAAGAACCCAGAAGACATACTTAACGTGGGTGAATTTGTCAAAACGCAGCTGTTCCAGAGAGGTTCTAAGTCAGCTTGCTTTTGTCGACTACCCAGTGATATTCTTCAGGGACCATACCCCCCCCCAGTCTCCCCACCCTTGTTGACCATGGTGGATAACCTGCAGCCCTTTGCAAAAACATGCCAATCAACTAAAATCTCTGAAGCAAAGGATTATTGTTGTTGAGATCCATATTGTGCCACAGTACATTCTAAGTCATTTACCTAAAATGTCCTTTCCCCAGAAAATCCTATCCAGCCCAGCATTTCACCCACTTTCCCAGAGTCCCCAGTTAGAAGTGTTCCTTTGCTATCTTCTCTCTATACTCTCAGTACCCAAGTCCTTCTAGAGACTTGGCTTCTGTTGCTACTCACAGAAAGTAACCTTCATTAGACAACCTCTGTTTCTTTATTGAAGTTCTTGGTGTTTGCAACAATTTTGCAACAACTTTTTCCCTCACTTGTCTTATTGCCTCCCACAAATAGGAAGCACTAAGAAAGGTGTGTTGGAGCTGCGCAGCGGTGGCGCTTGCCTTTAATCCTAGCATTCGGGAGGAAGAGGCAGGTGGATCGCTGAGAGTTCGAGGCCAGCCTGCTCTACAGAGTTAGTTCCAGGACAGCCATGGCTACACACACACCCAAAAAAGGTGTGCTGGATAGATTTTTGTTGCAACGGGACCCTGAAGGGAAGAATTGCCACCATCAGGTACACTGTGGCCATGCCTCTGAGGAAGTGCCTTGACTGATTGATTGACATGGGAGAACCCCTCCCACTGTGAGTAGCACTGCCCCTGGGCAGGTGGATATGGGCTCTACAAGAAAGCTGGTTGAGCATGAGGCAGAAAGATGTTACTGTAGTAGCATTCCTCCATGGGTTCTGCATCACTTCCTGCTTGAGTTCCCTTGGTGGTAGATTGTGACCTGGAAGTACAAGCTGCGATGAACCCTTTGCCCCACAAATTGAGTAGTCGAATTTGGTCAGAGCTTTTCAACACAGCCTCCGGAAAATATAATAGATGCAAAAGGCAAAATCTAATCTCTCTCACTCTCTCCCTCTCCCTCCCCCCTCTCTCTCTCTCTCTCTCTCTCTCTCTCACACACACACACACACCCTAATGAGATAGGATGCTAGTTATCAGAAATGGATCAATGCTTGTATAAGCTTCATATGTATCAGTTTGCTTTATGTCGTTGTGATAAACACTATGGCCAAAAACAGCTTGGAGAGGACAGGTGTATTTGCCCTACAGACTTGAGTCCACCGTTAAGGGAAGCCAAGGCAGGAACTCAGGCAGCCAACTGAAGGGAAGAACTGAGGCGAGGCCACAGAGGAATGCTGCTTACTCTCCACGGCCTGCTCAGTCAGTGTGTGACTTTATACCAACTCAGGACCACCTGTCCAGGGGTGGCATTTCCCACAGTGGGCTGAGCCTTCCCACATCAATCATAAAGGAAATGTCTCAATCTAATAGAGGCCATTCTTCAGCTAAGGCTCCCTCTTCCAAGATGGGCCCAGTTGTGTCAAGTTGACCAAAAAAAAACAAAAAAACAAACAAAAAAAACCCCTCAACTATAAAACAAACACCAATAACCAGTGTATCCAGGGGTGCAGCTTCCATGATTGGGAGGGCTTTGGGATGATACACGCAGCTACCCGAGAGTTCCCTAAGCACCTGAATGTCGCCCTCACTCACATTCCTTCCTGTAAGTAGTCGATAGGCTCACAGACATCTCTGAAACACTGGCATTATCCTCGGTGGAGAGAATGGAACTGCACACAGAGCAGTGTCGGGGAAGTGTGTTCCACACGTGAGCCCCAGGGCCCGGAGGGAAAAAGCAACTGATGGGAAAGGAGTGGTAACCTGACCTAAAGGAGCCAGCCTCCTGCCTCAACCAGTAAGACACACGTTCTCAACAGAGCTCTCAAGCCACACCTTCACGGACCAGAGAGCCAGAACTGCACAGTATGTGTAAGCAAGGGGACTGATTTCCAGACCGAGGACTATGTCATAAGTACATACACATATATATTATATATAATATAATACATATTAATATATATTAAATCTTTTTTCATTTTACATACCATCCCAATCCCTCCCCTCCTGATGTTCTCCCCACCTCCACCCTCCACCCCACCCTCCATCCACTCCTCAGAGAGGCTAAGACTTCCCATGGAGAGTCAACAAAGTCTGGCATCTCACTTTGAAGCAGGACCACTCCCCACCAATATCTAGGGTGATCAAGGTATCCCTCCAAAAAGAATGGGCTCCAAAAAGCCAGTTCAAGCACTAGGGATAACTCCTGATCCCTCTGCCAGTGGCCCCACAGACTGCCCAAGCCACACCACTGTCACCCACATTCAGAGGGCCTAGTTCGGTAGGTTTTGTGACTTTCTGTTGCGGGATTCTGGCCTGGGTCCCCAAATAACACACAAGACACTATATTAATTATGAGGCTGTTGGTTGTTTGCTATGGTTTCTTAATGTCTAGCTCTGACTTAATTATTAACTCATAATTGCTAATGTATATTACTATAAGGACTTAGCTTTCTGAGGACAGCATCCTGATGCGTCCTCTCTTCCCTAGGATCACATGGCGACTCCCCTCTTGACTACATTTCCCAGAATCCTCCTCTCCTAGTCCCTCCTATCTTGCTTCCCTATTGGCCAAAAGTGTTTTATTCATCAACATATACACAGAAGGACTTCCCCCATCAACTTTCTATTGCTGGAAATTTTCTCCAGGAGCACAAGTTAATCTTTTTTTTTAAACCAACATTCACTAAATGTTGATAATTTCATTGCATATCCCACTTACCTGAAAAATTCTAGTGCTTTGTGATGTTAATGGGGGGTATCAATTCATGAAAACCGTGTCTCAGTGTTTGATGTCTGCACCCCTTTCTCTAGTTCTCTGTGTAGAGTAGAACAGCGCCCCACTTTCATGGGGGAATTGCCCCACTAGAGAGATTTTCATGCGATGCTGGCTCCCAGTTTGTTTGTGAGAAAGGCAATCCCAATGGGGTCTCATTAGTGTGAAACAAGCAGCTTCTGAGTCTTGGGCCTCCACTAGCCAAGTAAAGGATGGGAAAGTGATGGAAGGGACAGAATTCAGACAAAACTGCTTCGGTGATACCAATATTCTTCCCAGCCTGGCATGGGAGGAGTCTCAGCTTTAAAGAATGCTTTATGCAGCTGAGGTACAGACCCAGAGGAAGGGTAGAAACGCTGCTCTCAGAACTGGGGGTTAGGGAAGCAGGTAGGCCTTCTAGACTGGAGTAGGCATGTAAGTCAGCCTGTGAAGATGAGTCCCTGGGGAACTGAACTTGGGAGTCTTCCTCCATTATGTCCTGGCCCTCGTCAGGATTCTTCCTTGAGCCTGGTGAAGGCTGAGTCTCTCACTGGGAGCCAAGTGTCTCCAGCCGTCAGGGAAAAAAAAAAATTGCTCCATCAAGGAACCAGACCACGCTTGACATCTAATGGGTCCTGCTTTGAAGGAAGTCCACTCCAAATTTTTGTGGTTCCTTTAAGCTTTGAGACTGACCAGGAGGAGGGGCCTGCCTAGCGTCTCTCCTTTTATCTTTTTCTCTGTCTCTCTCTCCTTTGTTTCCTTGACCATACAATGGCGGGTTACACCAAACCCACAAATTCCAAGCTATATGTAGCACGGAGCGGCTGTTTGTCCCCAAAATACCACGGCCGCTGACTACAGCAAACACTAATTACAAGCTCTGTCTAATCACCGTTGTGTGACCGGTCATTTCTGGTTTCCAAAAAACGACGATGAGTGGCAACGCTTCTGCAGCTGCCGGGGTCGCGGATCCCAAGCGCACGCAGATGGGATGGAGCCGGGCGCCCCGAGTGACCAGTTCAGAAAGGGAAATGGGGCGGAGGAGCAGAGAGGAAGCATGGAGAGACGGGTCTTGCTTCTTAGGACCCCACAAACGAGCCGTTTAGGTTCACCAGGTGGCGCTGGCACTAGCCTGAAAATGCCAGTGAGCACCCAGCTCCCGGGTATACACTTTGCTTATGCACATGGTGACACCGCCAGTTGTCACTGAATGACCACACCGGAGACTGGAGGAAATGAAGGTTTGTCTCACATCTGCTGACTAGGTTTGGGGTTTACATTTATTTGTTTCTTTCTTTCCCGCCAACCTCTTCTTCCTTTCCACCCAAACTGGAAGGAAATGTGGTTCTGCAACGATAAACGGCACACTTGAGGGCATAGGTAACTGTTTATTGTGGAAATTACTCACAAGAGAGAAACAAGCAATCCAGATGAGTCAAGCCTTTCACCACCAAACCGAAAGCCAAAAAGAGAGCGAGACGCTCTGCTGCTAGGTCTTTTATTCCTTCCTCCGTACACGCCCCTAGCCACGCCCAAAAGTGGGCCGGGCTAGTGACGTAGTTCACCACCTAAGTCCATATATATCTTTAGTCACGCCTAAAGCAGGTGTGGTTAGCGGTGCGGTGAACTGCCCTTTTATTATCTCATCTGTATGTGTCTCTAACACGCCACATGGCTAATGGCGGAGTACTAAATTTCCCCCTACAGAAATGGTTTCAGAGAAGCGGTGCTGAGCATGAGGCCTGTCGCCTCTGTGAGTTTACGACCACGAACCTTGAGTAGGCTGGCCCACTCTTTTGCACGCTCCTGTGAGTAAGGGGTGGCTGCCACTAACGCCGTCCTCCTCTGGCTGCTGAGACGCTAAGATGAAGGCACTTGGGAAAGCGCCAGCCGTAAGTCCGACATAAAGCGGCCTGGGAAACGGGGCTGTGGAGTGGAACCACTCACTCGCTGGGTGTGGCCTCCTCGTAGCCCTCTTGACTGCTCCTCACTGCCTTGAACGTGGGCTGTTGGTTGCTAGGAACAGGCAGACAAGGGGGTCCCATGATGAACTTGGCCTGTGATCAGAGTGTCAAACACGGCCACTCCAAATAAACTACTGCTCCACAGGGGGGGCCCTGGGGCGCATGTGCACTCTTGGAAGGCAACTCTTCTGCAAGTTTTAGAGAGCCCAGATACAGGCTTGAAGATGCTGTGTCAAAACATAGAAGCGCTTAGGAAAACAAGACCTTTCAAAGTCCTATGTTCCTCTCCACCCGAGATTTCCTTTTCACAATGGTCTTTTGTGTGGAGAGCAGTTGAGCTCTCACTGTTGGCTATGGCATGGGGGGGGGGGCTGACTTGCCGGGACCAGCAGAGGGGAGGCGAGGTGTAGACATTTCTCTGGTGGCTGGGGGTGGTGACGGTGAAACATTGAACGGCCAGTGCTCCAACTGACTTTCGCTTCCCTAAACTATAAATAAAGTGGCATTTTCCCCTTTTACTTTAATTCCACGCTAGCCCCCTCCCGTGCACGAGTCCTTTAAGAGAAAGAGATGGGGAGAGAGCTTCAAGTCTAACTCAGCTTTATGCGCTCGCCATGCTGAAGACAGGCATCAAAGGGGCTCAGCGGGCGCCCTGTCAACTCCCCAGTTCCATCCTGTGGGGGTCGGTTCTGCCCCCCAGGAAACGAACAGGGGTGAGGACTGACGCAAGGGAGCACCCCATTGTGCTTACCTGCCATCTTCTTCGGGGCATGCCGGCCAACTTCTCCTTCTGTGCACCTCCATCAGGATGGCAGCTGACTGTGCACGCATCCACTTGGTTCACCCTGCGACACACCAAGAAACAAGAGAGAGGGGTATGAGCTCGGAGCAGGCTCGCCGGATTTCAAAGCAACACAGTCTGAGAAACAACAGCAGCAGTAAAGCATTAGGTGGGGCTGGCGGGATGGCTTGGCGGGTAAAGCTCCTGCCTTGCAAGTCGGAGGACTTGAAGCCACCCACGGAAGTCACACATGATGGCCTGTGGTTATGATCCCAGGGCGAGGGACGCAGTTCAGGAAGCTCTGTGGGACTCACTGTCCAGGCAGCCTAGGCTACTCAGTGAGCTCTGTGTCTGTCGGTGGGAGGCTGTCACAAAAGACAAGATAGACAGCTCCTGGGGAATGACACGTGAGAATATTCTCTGAGCTCCACACACACACACACACACACACACACACACACACAGCCCCTATTGTAAGATACATTATACTTAAGAATTTCGCATCCCACCCCCATTTTCTTCCTTAGGGCAATCCTACGGTGTCGGTGTTTTTAGTCTCATTTTATCCACAGTGAAACTCAGATTTAGAGATTAAAATCACTCACCTCAAGCATTTCCGTTACCCCTGACCAATAAGAAACCCAAGGTCAAATGCACCCAGAGAGATGTTCTCAGATGGTGCAGTTCTTGTCATTCCCGAGTCTGCTTCCCCCAACCCCCAGTACCATTATAATTCCTAGTTTTGTTTACTGTAACTATAAAACAGCTTTCAGTCCTCTTTGGAAGCATAAATGTATCAGTGAGTGACAGAGATGAGGACTCAGCTTCCAGATGTCCCTCAGCCTTGTGTTCTCCTGCTCTCCAGCGGCCTGTTGGCTTGGGAAACGCACACGTGCTGTGGTGACCAAGAGACCAAAGGAAACTCCAAGCTGAAAACCCATAGCTGCTTGGGTTGCTTGGATTCTGCCTGGGACCTGGGTGGGAGTCAGGAAGCAGAGAATTGTAACCCTCTAGGGTAGCCTGTTGGTAAGAGCTCCAGAAAGTCAAGGATGAAGTCTTCAAAGGAGCAAAGAAAGAGAAGCCCCTGCCTCGGGTGATGAGTCTCTCCGCCATCACTCTAGGAACAGCTAAGGGCTGAAGAAAGAAAAAAGAAAAAGGCAAGAAGAAAACAAAAAATAAATAAATAAAATCCCCAAACCAAGCTATGCCCACATAAAAATCCTTAGGAACCAGCAAAGAAGCAAGATTTTCAGAACAAGGATAAGAATAAGATGAAAAGACAAGATTCTACACCAGCAAGAAACAGCTATGGGGGCTGGGCGGTGGTGCCGCACGCCTTTAATACCGGCACTAGGGAGGCAGAGGCAGGCGGATCTCTGTGAGGTTTGAGGCCAGCCTGGTCTACAAGAGCTAGTTTCAGGACAGCCTCCAAAGACACAGAGAAACCCTGTCTCGAAAAACCAAAGGAAAAAAAAAAAAAGAAGAGAAGAGAACCAACTGTGCTGTTTAAGGAAGCAAACATAATGTGCATAATACATTAAGAATTGGAATAAGTTCAAGGTCGGATGAAGCTGTGACCACGAATGGGATAAAACAACAGAAAAATTACAACTAAATGCTTACACTGTGACAGGCATGTGCCGTGTGTTTTACATTCCATTTAACTACAGCACCCTCTGAGGTTTATCTTTCCGAGCCTGTGTAGAAAAAGAGAAGTCAAGATCTGGGTGGTTCAATAGCCTAGACAAGTTGGCAGGAGGCAGAATGGCATCCATTCCCAGTGACGATCCAATCACAAACCCAGCCACCATTTCACCAAGGTTATCCCTACACTGACCTGCCCAATAATGAATGCAAATTTAAGTTGACCCTAACTCGAGAGCAGGTAGTGTCCATTTAGAACCAGAAAGAGTAACCCAAAGCTGATGGGCAAAGGGAGCTCATGAGATCACATAAGAATAAAGAGTTCTGGGGAAAAAATAGGCAATGATGGGAGAGCCAGATGCTTTAGGAGTGAAGCCACGTGATGATGACAATAATAACAGTGATAGCGAAAGCTGCAATACTCCAGTGGTAAAGGAAATCATTTGTACAACAGAAGGGAGTACATAAGGTAATTTAGTATATTATCAAGAAAGCCTCAAGGGCCTAGAGCTAGGCTCAGCAATTAGGAGCACTCGCTTCTCACACAGAGGACCCAGGTTTGGTTCCCAGCACTTACCTACCTGCTGGCTCACAGTCACACGTAAGTCCAGCTCCAGAGGATCAGTTGCCCTCTTACGGCCTCTAAAGGCACCAGGCAAGCATGTGGTGCACAGACATACATGTTGTCAAGCACTCATACACGTAAAATAAAAATAAACAAGTCATTAAATTACTTTTAAGAAAGATATCATGAAGATGTACTAGAACTCTTAAGTGCTTATTGAAGTGACCATTTTAATGCAGCTGGGTAACAATTTAGAGAAAAGTTCATTCTCATTGCCCTCAAATGGTATGAAAAGGTAAACCCAAAGTGGTAAAAGTGTAAAGCAAGTATTGGATCATACTTGGTTTTTTTTTATTTAAATTAGAAACAAGCTTGCTTGACATGTCAATCCCAGCTCCCTCCCCTCCTCTCCCACCCCTTTCAGGCCCCTCAACCCTCCACCTCCACCCCATGGAGGGTGAGGCCTTCCATGAGGGATCTTCAAAGTCTATCATATCATCCCGGGCAGGGCCTAGACCCTCCCCCATGTGTCCAGGCTGAGAGAGCATCCCTCCATGTGGAATGGGCTCCCAATGTCCATTCTGATACCAGGGATAGATACTGATCTGCTACCAGAGGCGTCAAAGATTGCCCAGGCCTCTTCACTGACACCCACACTCAGGGGGTCTGCTGTCCTCTCAGCCATCAGTCTGGGGAGCTTCCCCTTGTTCCAGTCAGCTGTTTCTCTGGGTTTCACCAACACAGTCTTGACCCCTTTGCTCATCACTCCTCCCTCTCTGCAACTGGGTTCCATGAGTTCAGTTCAGTGTTTAGCTGTGGGTGTCTGCTTCTGCTTCCATCAGCCACTGGATGAAGGCTCTAGGATGGCATACAAGGTAGTCATCAATTTCATTATACTTGTAGAGAAATACTTCTTGATAAGTATCAAATAAATAATCTAACCTTCAAAGAAACAAAAGTTCAAACTAATTAGCAATTTCTCTTCAGGAAATATAATTTTCTCCAAAAAAGAAATTAAGGTCACCAAGGTAAACAAAAGGTATTTCCTAAAATACAGCACAGATAGGGTGATTTAATACCTACAATGCATAGTGTTTAACCACCCAGTATAAGAGGACCTACAGAAAAGAGGGGGAAGAGTTAATTAACACATGCCCAGTCCTACTAAGTCCTACCAAGGAAATAAATACAGTCCAAACTCAGGAAATAAAATACACTGTTCAGTGGTAATGAACTTTGGTTATACTCTTGTAGGAAAAAATATCACTAGCCGAGGAATGAACAAATCCAGTAACCTGCAGGACAACATGAAGCCCAAGGTAGGCATGGGATTCCTGCTAAATGACCAGGTGCTCTACACACACACACACACACACACACACACACACACACACACACACTCCCCACACATACAACAGACACACTCACACATACACATAGATACACGTACACATGGACACACACACATCCCCCCACACACACATAGATACACACATACCCCCCCCACACATACACATACACACACACACCCCACACACATACACATACACACACACATGCCCCACACATACACACATACACACACACATGCCCCACACATACACACATGTACACATAGACACACACACACACACCCCACACATACACACAGACACATACACACACACACAGGTGATGATGTGAGGTAATAGGTGTATGAATTTGCCTCATTAAATCAGTATCCCATAGCATCAAGTTATACATGTTATAAAATATGCACACATACACACACGTATTTTATTTATTTGTGAATATCTTTATTGTTATTTTCATCATTGGGTAAACCTGTTCCAGAATATGATGGCCAAAGTACATTAGTGCAAAAAAAAAAACAATTTATACACAAAAAACAAAATGTCTTTCGAAATCCTATCTAAAAAAGTAATATAAGGAGGAGAAACACACACACACACACACACACACACACACACACACACACACATCCAAGGGCCAGCAGGATAACTCAGCAGGTTAAAGTGACTGCTGCCATGTTTGATGACCTGAGTTCAGTCCCTGAGTCCTGCAAGCTGTCTTGTGATCCTGACACGCACACACTTTGGCACATGCACACCTACACTTCTGTATACACACACACAAATAAACAAATGAGTGAGCAATAAGTAAATTCATAAGGTGTGAATCATCAGGATAAATGGCCATGAGTAGTGGCATGCTGAAATGCCTGTGGAGCCATGCCCAGATGGAGCATGGAGGAAACACTGTAAGGCGATAGATATATTAACCATACCTGGTGCGGGAAGGGAGCCGTTCACAGTGATGGCTCTGGACTGTGGATGCAAGAACACATCCATGTCTACCGGTGGAAGAGGGCTGGAAAGGGTCATTAAAAAATGAGAATTTTTATGAAGCTGAATGTTCTCCTTATTTTTAATCCCCCTCCCTGTTGTGAAATTTTGCTCCTAATTTAAAATCTGGTTTAATTAAGGCATTATTGGGAACCCATGATACTCAGCAACACACTTAGAATGCTTCATAAGAACTCCCTGGAACTTGCTACCTGGGGATATATATTATCCAACCTTCAACTCCAGTGAGAGTACTGCCCTTGGGCAGGAAGGCTGGGTAGAAAGGCTCTCCGTCCCTTTTAGACTATACATCTTCTATTAGCTTCTTAGAGCTGCTGTAAAGATGTCACAGACTGAGTGGTTCATATGATGGAAGATATTTTGCAAGTCTTCCTTGTATTCTTTCACAACCTAAGATGCTGAAGTCAGGATGGCAGCAGGACCGTGCTCCCTCTGGGACCCTGAGCAGACTACTTCTTTCACTTCCTAGTGGCTAACCGTGATGGGCGATGTTGGCAGCATTTGGCTTGTAGCTGTGTCACTGTAGTGTTTGCCTCTGTTATCAAACGATGTCCCCTCTGAGTGTCTGCATGATGTCTTCTAGCAAGGTCACCTATCCTTGGGTTAAGGATACATTTTCTTAAGTTTGATTCCATCCTAATATATTCATAATGACGCATTACCAAATAAGATTGCAT